AATAATAATAATAATAATAATAATAATAATAATAATAATAATAATAACAATAATAATAATAATGTTAAATCAAGCTAAACTATTCCCTGAAAGACTGTGATTTTGGTTTTAACAAACAAACAAATTAAACAATATATTTAAGTCTAAATGTTTGTGCTCTTCTGGTTCAGAATATTAATGCTGGAGCATTTTTAGCTCTTTATTATAAAGCTTTACTTTAAAAATGTTACTTATGATTAAAAATAACAGATCTAATGAGTCTCAAATGTCTCAAACTGAAGGGAAATAGTAGTAAAATAAATTTGATCTCATGGAGGAAAAATAGATCAAAGTGCACAACAATTATTTTACATTATTTGTGTATCTTAGATCTTTTAGTGTACCGTTTGGCATTTGTTTAGCATATGTATCAGTGTAGTAGCTTAGATCCTTATTGACGGTTTTGTTTTATACTTTATACTTTGCTATTTTGGGGTGTAACTGGGATTCTGTGTACATAATTTTGTACCACCGCATGCACCACCAGTAAAGTTGACTTGAACTTGAACAGTAAAGTAGAACTTGAACTTTTTGCAAATATGCTCTGTTGGTTCAAGGGATAGTCAGTGGTGTTGTTTTAAAATCGTACACGTTTTTACTTCCCTTGTTCCCTCTGCTAACTGGTGCTTGCTGTCATTCTTGCTTGTTCCCGTCCAGTGAGTCTGACTGCATCTACCCCATCCTACTTCAGAGGGTTTACCCTTATTGCTATAAAGGAGGGTGCAGAGGGAGACAAAGATGAGGACTACGCTGGACATTTCCAGGTAAGATAGTGGCTGCACCTGTTTGCAAACACAGTGTAAAAAATAAGTTAGTTGTAGTTATATTCTGTGCTTCTTGGTGGTAGTAGATCTAGCCACCTGGCATAGCTGTAATATCAACACCATCCTTCTTTTGGGCTGCAACGCATGAGACATAAGCTCTTCTGCCTTTAAATGTCAGGCTGTGATTATTTTAGCTCCTAACAGCATATGCCTACTGACAACCCTGAGCTCGTCTTCAATTTTACTTTTCTTTCTCAGTTTGTTGACATAAACCCATGCAGAGTTTAATCATATATTCACAAGCAAGCATGCATGCAGGAAGTGTACAATTAAAGCAGTTCAGGGGCTAATTAGACGTGTATACACACTGGTTCAGCTCGGGATGTTAATGGGAGGAGGGAGTGACTGGAAGAGAGTCAAGAGTTCAAACAGGGGAAAAAAGAAGGAAGGAAAACTGGTGCAGACACAGTATGCTAATGTGCAATGAACAAATATATGAGGCTTTTGTGATGGAAATGCTGTGTGAGAAGTAGTTTCTACATACGATTGGTTGGTGGGCATGTATGGGTGTGACAGGAGAGTTTATGGTTTAAAATCAAATTTATATTTATATTTTATCCTGCTATTATTCTAATTGAAGTTTATTTAGTTTGAGTTAAGGCACCATGTTAAAATAAATTTACACAGCTGAGCCAGTGGTGCTAAAGTGCAGGTCTTACTAAGATAATCCTGTCAGTCTGAAGACTGGCTATCTGTCAGGCCCTTTATATGTCAATGTGTCTAACGGCTGAACTCCACATTATTCCCAATGGGCTCACTGGTGAGTGAACATGATAAAGAACACAGGTCTGCATGTGTTTAAGAAGAAGCACTTTTTGAATATGAGTGAATAGGTGGATTAGACTTTATTGATTTGAGATCAATTGTAAAGTTTTTTTTTTTTTTTTAGCTAGGTTCAAACACCAAATAACAGATGACATAAAAATTGTAATTTTTCAAGAGTTTTAAAAAGAAACAAGCACTTGAGGAATTATTTTTCAGTTTCTTACCTCCAGAAGTGGCAGAGAACTACTGGGAAAAAGTAAAAACGATTCAACAGCATGTGCCCTTTTTTGTCAAGAGTTGTTTTGAACCTAAAAGGTTTTCATTTAGGATCCTTTTTATAAAAAAAAACCAAAACAAACTTTGAGTACTGTACAGTCAACGTGAACGTTTTCACAGCAGTCTTCAGGCTCTGGCGGTGGAACTCTCAGTAAACCATAAAGAGAGCATTTTAAAATGCTCTTTTAAAAAGAGCATTTTATTTTTGTCCTGTATTCACCTAACATTAACATTCAACTCTGACATTTGCAAGATTTTTTTGTTTTTGCAACTGCTCTTATGTGAGGTAGATTTCAGGGTGTCCCTTAGCTATACAGTCAGTGTGGTGCCTAACATTAGGAGCAGAAAGAACTTCACAGTTTAAACGAGTCCTTTACTTTGCTACACACATAAATGAGAGTGGAGTGCTCTGGGAATGACTGATCTGAATGACAGATGTGTAATCATTGCCTTTTAGATGCTGGCAAAGGAAAAAAAATATATAGTGGGACCAGCTTTGATTAGAGCACTGTCAAGGTTTCAAAAGCTAGAAAACCCCTTTTCAAAGCTGTGAATGATAATCGGTCTCACTGCCAGCAGAATGTGACAGAGCAACGTAAAGAAAATGTTATTCAAAAAGAAGGCAATGAACAGCTGCTGAACTTTTTTTTAAGGATTTTTTTGTCTCCTATGTCCTAAAAGCACACACATACAAAGTACATAATTTTGCCGTACTGAGTAGCACTTCTTTAAACATACAAACAAAATATCAAAAAGTTGCTGCAACACAAAGTGCCAAGCTTTATTTAAAGTATAGCTCATTTGAAATCTGTTGGTGTGCCCCATCTCAGAGCAGCTCCTGACTTGATGAAAAGCACTTTTATTGAGCTCTCTGGGGAGGTCAGCTGCACTGTGTGTGTGTGTGTGTGTATGTATGTTTTTTGGCAAGTGTAGAAACCAGCAGGGAATGTTGGCAATGTCTCATGAGACATTACCTCTCAGCAGGGTGAGATAATAGGACACAAAAAGGCAAATTGCTATGTGGCTATAAAAAGGGTGAACTCAGCCTGATGTGGCTTTAAGGCAACAGAGACATTAAGATATTTTTGTAGAAATGTGTGTAACAATCCATCCATTATCTTTACCTGCTTCTTCCTTTTATGGGTCGCGGGGGTTACTGGTGCCCATGTCCAGCTTTCACTGGGTTGGATGTGTTTAAGAAGAAGCACTGTTTGAATATGGTTTTCGAACCGGGGCGACCTGCTCGCTGAGAGGCGGCAGCTCTACCAATTGCGCCACCGTGCTGCCCGTGTGTAACAATAATTTCTAACAGTGGCCCAGTTGGTAGAGCTGCCACCTCTCAGCGAGAAGGTCACCGGACTCAGTCCCGGCCGGGGGGCCATTCTGGGTGGAGTTAGCATGTTCTTTCTGTGCAGACATGGGTTTTCTCTGGGTACTCCAGTTTCTTCCCACAGAGCAAAAACATACATGTTAGGCTGATTGGTAACTCTAAATTATCCCTAGGTGTGAGTAAGAGAGTGAATTGTTATTTGTCTCATTTTTCTCCATGTGTCCTTGTTATGGACTGGAGACCTGTCCAGGGTGTCCCCCGCCTCACACAGTGACTGCTGGATAAGGCCACCAGTGACCCCCTGCAACCCGAAAATGAAGATAATGGATGGATGGATACAACAAATTTTCAAGCTTGACCAGCGAGTCATTTTTGCCTTATGCAAAATTATGGTCTTTATAAACACTGGGCAGCATGAGGGATTGGTGGTTAGCACTGTTGCCTCATAGCAAGAAGGTCCTGTGTTTAATACCCTGTTTGGACCTTCTGTCGTTTTGTGTGGAGTTTGCATATTCTTCTCATTTTTGCCTGGGTTTTCTCCAGGTACTCCACTTTCTTCACACAGTCCAAATACATGCATACTTAAGCGGTCTTCAGGCCAAGGCCTTCCTTGCAAAAAGATCTGTGTTCTCAGTGGGATTTAGCTGGTTTAATAAAGGCTAATAAATAAATATAAATACATTTTGCAGTGATGTTTCCTGCTCTTTCTGTTTTCCTTATAACCCAAGCCAAGATTTGAAAATAGCATAGAAAGAAAAGGGTCATTTGTCATTTTGTAACAAATTAGTTGCCTCTTTTTACAGATGGTGTTTAATGAATTTGCATGAGACTTGACAGGTTTGAACATGTGTTGTGGCTCCACCAGGCCAACTTGAGATGCCTTTTAAAAACCATGGGAACATGTTAGAAAGTGGGGGTGTAATCTGTTAGACCAAGATAGACAACATACATAAAGTGCATGAACACACACATAGCACTCACATTCTTCTTTTCAGTCGGTCTTTGACTGACTCTAACACACACACAGACACACACACCCTCAGACTTTCAAAGGGAACTCATTCATAACATGACATGACAAAGGGAATTCTCTGCTGACAGCTTTATGGAGTGAGAAACAGCTTTGTCTTTACTGCCCTGATGTCACTTCCTATCAAAACGATTTTTGGTCCCTGGGCAGTGTATATTAGTTCAACGGCACAACTCAACTAATTTAATGTGCAGTTAAAATCATTGAGATGTTTAGTATTCTAGTGAGAACTTGACTCTAGAGGCCATCATGCATTTAAAGTTCTTAATTTGAGCAAAGCCAAGTGCAAAGACTTTTTGGAATTTGTTGTAGTTGGGTGATGATTTCCTTGTAAGGGTCATGATTGTGTAACCCCCAGACCCTCAAAAAAATGTATACTTATAATTTTCATGGTATTAATTAAAAAAACAATCTCACGATGTGCAAGATCTAACAATCCTGTTTTAGGAAATTTAATTAATTAAAGGAACATGAATGGAGTCTGAGATTGCAAGAAGTATGGGGCAGAATCTGCCATTAGTCTTAGTTTCAATACAGTGCTGTAGTCACAAACTGTGGATTATGACCTTAGGGATGACATCACAGATGCAACAACTAAAATAGAATTCTCTAAATAGTGTCACCCACAAAAAAAAAAAAAAAAAAAAAAAAAAAAAAAAAAAAAAAAAAAAAAAAGATTTTGGATTTGGGGTCCTGGTGTTACACAAATCTTTTAAATTTAATTTAAAAGTCTACATACTCAAAAATATATATGTCCACTCCACACACAAAGGAATGCACTCACTGACCAAGAAGTGTGAAGTGAGTTCACAGGGGGAGAAAAGGGCTCATGGCAAATGATTCCAGGTCAAAAAAGCAATATTACAGGATCACTGTCACATCAGTACACCAGCCATTGTTAATGTAAAAACAAATGCCTCCACCTTTTACCTTGCCGGACAGCTCCGTTACGTGCTCCGCTCCACTCCGTGACATGGTCCAGTGCAGAGTTCAGTGCCGGTTCATTCAGCCATGTCTCCGTGAAGCACAATACAAATGAAGATTTTAAAAAAGTCGTCATTCCTCCCTTCAAATAGCTTAAGCATGTCCATTTTGCTGCTCAGTGTGCAAAGAGTGGAAATACATATTTCAGGTAGCAGTGGGTGCAGGCTGTGCTGGCAATGATGATGATGATAAAACAGCTGGGCAGCATGAAGTAATGAATATAATGACTGTATAGCAAAGCAGAGGATTTACGGCTCCTTGGGTGAAAAATTACATATTACCATGAAAATATGAAAAAAATTCTGGAGGATCTTTGTGTTTTTACAAAACTGCAGCAGTTTCCGCAAATAATTATTAGTTAGGTTCTTGGGAAAAAAAAAAAAAATCTGCAAATGACTGCACATTTTCTTTATTGAAGCAAACCTTGTTCCAACTTTTATATTATTACTGCTCAATGACAACTGATGAAGTGTTGGCTTGTGACTTTAGCACACATTACATTTAGAATGCCAATCAATCACAATTATAAATGTGAAATTAATACTGTTAATGTTCTTTTTACAATATAACCTGTCAATATATTCTATGTGTTAGCAAGAGAACAGTCAGCACCTAAAGTTAATTGATGCATTAAAATGATGAAAATTAATAAGTGGGTATAGCTTTGAGCATCTTTAGTTCTATTGGATTTTACCTCATATTCCTTAAGCTTACCATTATCCATCCTTGTGGCTGGTACATTGATGCCGAGGTTTTAAAGAGCTGGTGCTTGTTTTACAATTATTTAAGCTGCTCATCTTAGGAGTGGAACTTTGCCTTAGATGAGGTGAAACAATCAATTTCAGTGCCAGTTTGTTTAAAAAGCACTTATAAAATCATAATTTAAATAATCTAAAACCATTGCACACCCTGTAGCCCCCAACCTGGATGTAGTTATATTTTATTCTTTGTATTAATGATATGAGTCTAGTTAGGGTCAATCTATGAATTAGCTAAAGGTTCATTAGGACGCAGAGGCAAATTAGTAAGGTGCAAAGGCAGGTCATATTTTCTTAATGAGAGCTGTGATATATATATATATATATATATTATATATATATATATATATATATATATATATATATATATATA